ACACACACACACACACACACACACACACACACACACACACACACACAGTAATCACGTCTGAACCTGTGGAGATTGAAATGTCTAACAAGAACACTTTTGTTATACAGAATGGACAGAATTTTATATAGTACTGTTGCAGTGCCAAGTTGGCTTTACACTGCATTTCTCTCATGTACCAGTTCGCACTGCCACACACGCATACTGCCAGTCAGAAACACAGCTTTTACACATTGCTCTGTTAACTCTGAGCTGCAAACAATTAAAAGCTAAACACTGGAAAAGAACTGAATGCCTGCTTCTCCCAACAACTGCTATCTTTTTTAAGAAGTGAAACAAGGATTACAAATTAAAGTTCTTTGTTTTAGATCTATCTGTCAACCCTACCTTGCAGTAGAGGTAGAGAATGAAATAAATTGGCGATGACTTCATACAAGTCTCATTGTTTCAAACAACAAAAGGCAAGAAAAAAAGCATTTCACAAAACAGAAATTGGCAGCCTCCAGCAGAATTAGTTTGTTTCCCTCCAAAGTGGCTACACAGAATTTTCAGCCAGCTTCACAGTTCAGCTGTAGGCCAGTCTAGATTGTTGAACTGAATTTAAGCATCCTCTAATGGTGAAACACAACTATTCAGACTATCCAGTTCAGACCTGCCACTTTCTGGAATTTTGTGATAATAACTTTAGCAGAATGAAACTGCCGGTCACTTCCATGCAATGTAGCTGACTCAACAAAACTTCACTGTATTAGAGTTCACCATATTTGATGCAGCACCACTAAATGTACTGTTGACAAACAATGTTAATCCTGCCCTCACTTTCAATAAGGCAGAGAAATTGTACACTTTACTGATATGGCTGTAATAATACCATGTGAAGTTAGTAACTAGCTGGTCACATTTGTGATATTTATATGCTTTTTCAAATGTAATATTTGAACATCAAACAATCACTATTTGCTGACCAAACATTTTACTGTGCTGTAATTTTCCCCATATCATTACTCTGAAGATATTGACTGTTACAAGGCCTGTTACTGCCTGTTCTGACCGAACCCAAATTGTTCCTGAATGATGGCTGGATATTTGTCCATTTCACTGATTTCAGAGGAGTCCCACTCCATCCTTATTTGATGGAGAGAAACCCTTTCATTGTAAACAGCAGCAGGAAAGCTTTAATTCTCAGTATCTATACTGCAAGATCAGTATTGGATCTCTGAATTTAGTAACATAGCATGCCTTGCTCAAACTGTGCTGAAATCTGCCATATTGGCATGAGCAGCTTCAATTCAACCAGAATACTTACCTAAAACAGATGTTAAATTGCTTAAATATATACATTAGGAAGCTATAAAGATGGTCATACTCTGAATGCAATTTATGTATAATTTATGTTTTCACTAGAAATGTTTCATCTGGTGATAGTAGTATTGGAGCTACTGATCCTGTGTTCTCCCTGACTGGCAAATTGCATTGGGAAACCTATTTCAACAATGTTATTCAAATGTGGTCCAGACATTTCAAGAATGATACCTGGTCTTTAGGGGTTAAGTTATGAGGGGAGATTACACACATTAGATCTATTCTCTATAGAATTCAGAAGGTTAAGGGGTGATCTGATCAAAGTCTTCTAGATATTAACAGAAAAAGACAGGGTAAATAAAGATAAACTGATTCCACTGGTTGGGGATTCTAGAACTAGGGGGTGTTTCTCAGAATGAGGACCAGACCCTTCAGGAGAGATGTTAGGAAGCACTTCTACACACAATGGGTGGTAGATGTTTGGAACTCTCTTCCACACACAGCAGTGGATGCTGGATTGGTTAAGTTTAAATCTGAGATTGAGAAATATTTATTAAGCAAAGGTATTAAGGGAAATGGGCCAAACACAGGTACATGAGGTTAGGCCAAAGATCAGCCATGATTTCAGTGAATGGTGGAACAGGCTCAAGGGGCTGATGCCAGGTTTGACATCCTAACAGGATCTAGTGGGAGGCTTTCTGAAAGCACAGGAAACTCCAGTGCATCTTGTTTAATCCCTGAGCCACAACGAAGTCCTGGTAAACACAGTGACAATCAGATTTAAAACATTCATGAACAAGCCCACCTGCCACTAACAAGCAGGTATCCTGTGGTGCCTTCATGCAGGATCTTTATTATGGGACAGTTTTCCTGTTTCAGGAAGTCAGATGCATGATCTCCCATATAATTCTGCCATCTACCTTCCACACTCCATGAACATCCACTCGAATAGTTTTTAATACTGGGAGAATAAACAGACACTTACCTCCTTTTGCCAACTCTTTCTGAATATCTGGCAGGCGAAATACGTAGTGGACATAAGACATCAGGAGACAATTGCGTCCATGCTGATCTTTGCTGAGGTCAGGACTGTTGTGAAGGCTGTTCACTATTGACACAACTGACTCAAATGTGAGTTGGGCAAGATTGGCTGCAAATGAACAACGCAGAGTGTTTGAATCAATGAGACATGACAATTAGAACTGTGATAATCTGCCATTCCCGATTGAACAAGAGACAGGTCTGGAGAATTGTGATATGTTCATACAACAGTAAAATCCAAGGAGTAACTTTCTTGAACTGAGGCACCAGTGTGAAATTGTACCTAAGCCTCTTGAAAACAAGCAGTAAGCTGTTGTGCAATTATTTATTCAAAAGATTTTAAACTATTCAACTTTTAGTCAATAAAAATAAAACATTAAAAAAATCTGATTTAAACATTCTAAGATTGTAACACAAAAAGAAATTTATGAGTGAAATCAAATGGCTTTAATAGTGGGCAGTAATTTGATGTCACAGATTATCTAATGGCATCTGCATTAGTTTAAGATGCCCTTGCAAGGTTATGTTTTTATAGGTTTTGTGTGGCAGACTGCTCAAAGTTGAAGTGTTACAGTGAGAGTCACACAGCATCTGGAGCATGAATGAAAAGGACAAGCAATTCCATATTCCCTTAACCAACTGGAATATTAAATTATGAAATTAACAGTGCAAGGACAGGGAAAGAAGTGTCAATTAGAGCGGATGAATTCAATCTCAAATCAGTTTCAGAAAGAGAAATAAAGACGGAAAGAAGGATTGAATTGATAGAGGTGTACAAAATGATCAGAGGTATAGATAGAGTAGACAGCCAGAGACTTTTTCCTAGGGTGGAGGTATCTATTACGAGGGGGCATAGTTTTAAAGTGAGTGGAGGTAGATATAGGGGAGATGTCAGAGGTAGGTTCTTTACTCAGAGAGTGGTTGGGGCGTGGAATGCATTGCTGGAGAGGGTAGTGGAGTCCGCCTCATTGGGGGCATTTAAGCGGCTATTAGATAGGCATATGGATGATAGTATAAGGTAGGGGTGGAGGTCAAACAGACCTTAGGATTAGGGTAAAAGTTCGGCACAACATCGTGGGCTGAAAGGCCTGTACTGTGCTGTACTGTTCTATGTTCTATGTTCTAAACAGAAGAAAGTGGTAGTTTATATTACACAATATTATATTATTGATAAGATCCATCAATTTAAAATATGAAGGAAACTCAATATTTGTATAAACAAAAATAGAAATTGCTGGAGAAATTCAGCAGGTCTGGCTTCTGTTCTTATGAAGAGTCACTGAACTTGAAACATTAACTCTACTTTCTCCTTACAGATGCTGCCAGATGGTTGCAGTTTCACCAGCAATTTCTGTTTCTATTTAATACTTGAAATAGTTATTTGTCAATGCCAGTTAATTTAAGTGTAATTCACATTTACCATGTCATTAAGATCATGCTTGGGTGAACAAAATATAATTTTCTATGCTGAATTTAGTTTGTACTCACTTCACAAGTTCTGCAATAATGTACTTCAGTGATGAACCAGGCAGTGAAATTTACAAAGCTAATGTTGCAGTGGTGGATCTCAGACAGTAATGTCTGGATTTTGTTGTTCAACTTTGCATCTGCTCTTCATTTAAATTGGTAATGCCATTCGCTCATAAATAATGATGGATACCATTAGCCCCAACTTATTTTGATAGGAAATCCTGTGTCTTTGTATTTCGAGATAAGGTTGTGACAACAAACATAAGGTTGGATTTTGCATCTTTCCATAAGGTAAGGGAGGCGGAAAGGAAACTTGGTGCTCTGATTGCTCCCACTGTCTCTGCTCATTTAATCAAGGATCAGATGGCCAATCCTGAAGGAAGGAGGCTGACTACAGGTGCAGGGTGGGAAGGTGCATGTCCAATCTGTACCATGGACAAGGATGTCATGGAGCTGATGTGTACAGGTTCAGCTGGAGGTGGCTCACAGCTAGCAGTGCAAAGGCCCCCTGCTCTCAGAGACAGTCTCCATGGTGTAAAGGAGGTTCAAAAAAGATGAAAAAATGTCTTTGAAAGAAACAAACAAAGAGACACTGTGACCTTCATCAGAATCTCCATAATCCTTCACTTTATGATCACTATTGTTAATGGGTTAATATTATTGAATTTTGTCCAATAAAATTCTGTGCTATCGTCCAAAAATACAACACTTCTTTATAAAGGATTTTTAAAAAATTCTCTCTCCTATATATAAACGCAGGGTGGTAGCTCATATATCTATTCATTATTGGAAACAACAACAATTTGCATTTAAATAGTGCAGTTAATGCAGTCCTTAAGTGCCTCATAGGATCATTCTCAAACAAAATCGGACACCGAGTCACAGAACGAGAACTTCGGACGGGCGACCACAAGCAGATTGACGCCAACGTGGGTTCAACTCCCATCAGCGGCTGAGGTTACCATGAAGGACACTCCTTCTCAATTTCTCCCCTTGCCTGAGCTGTGGGTGACCCTCAGGTTAAACCAACACCAGTTGCCTCTCCCTAAGAAGAAAACAGCCCCATAGTCTGGTAGGACTGTGGTGATTTTTCCTTTACAATTAGAAAGGTAAACTTTAAGGAATGTTGCAAAGAAAGAGAGATGGTTGGAGAGGGTTAGGGAGGGATTCCAATCTTTAGGGCTAAGTAGCTGAAAGCACAGGTACCACTGGTGAAGTAATTTTTATTGGGGCTAAGCAAGAGGCCAGAATAGAATTGAAGGTGTGCAGCCAATGACAGAGAGTTTTAAGGATGGAGAAGATTTCAGAGATAGGGAATGTGAGGAAATAAGTTGAAAACAAGGATGAGAATTCAAAAACAATAAGAACAATTGCTTTCAGTGTGCTAACTACAAATTTACATGTGCAACCAATAGAACTTGAGGTAAATGTCAACCAATCAGATTTGAAACAGTGACGATATCAGTGGTGCTCCCTTTTAAGACTTACCTGTCTGGCCTGCAATGACAATGGGCTGGATCGTCAACTGAAAAAGCTTGTCCATGATCTGGTGCAGGAACAGGACCAATGGTTCCAGCCGAGCCGACGGCAGTGAGATTATACTCAACTTCAACTCATGCTCCAGATCATTTTCTGTTATCTTTTGATCTAGGATCCAACAAGGAAATGTCACCTGGCCTTCTAGAGTGTGACACAGTGCGAAGAATTTGTCCAGATGATTGTCCTGTGCCAAAGAAATACTTTTAAGTGATCTACTCTATCGGTTGCTTGGCATTACTGCCCATCTTCATGAAATGGACTGTTCAAATACAACCCGAAAGAACTGCAGATGCTGTACATCAGGGTTAATGTTTTGGGTCCAGTTACCTTTCCTCTGAAGAAGAGTCACTGGACCCGAAACATTAACTCTGATTTTTCTTCACAGATGCTGCCAGACCTGCTGAGCTTTTTCAGCAACTTCTGTTTTTCTTCAAATACTGTCCCAGTCAATCCCTTCACTAATCTGGTGAAACTTTATTAATTCACCCTTACGGTCCTCTCTCAGTTCTCAAACTGCTACAGTATTGATGGCTCCTTATACCAAAATATAACAGGAAAACAGAATGCATTTTAATAATATTCACTAACTAAGAGCATCTTGATATCCTATTGAGAGAACGGGCTGGTATGCTGCAGTGCTGTCTGCGTACATGTACTAAAATCACTAATTCAGAATTGGGCAGTGCTTACAACAACAACAAAAACAGAAGTTGCTGGAAAAGCTCAGCAGGTCTGGCAGCATCTGTGAAAAGAAGTCAGAATTGACGTTTTGCATCTGGTCATCCCCTACTGAGCTTTTCCAGCAATTTCTGTTTTTGTTCAAATGCAAGCGTTCCTAACTGATTGTCTGTTTTTGATTGTAATGTTCAGTTCTGCAGAAAAAATAGACAATGCGTTGGCTGGAGGTGATTTACTCCTTTGGTTTAATTTCAATCACAATGGTGCCCATATATTTCTTCAATCTGGAAAATAATGTGGGTGTGGATTGTCAACACTCACTAGCTGTTTGCAAACATGAACCTTGGTGTTAACTTTCTGCCCTACATACCATTGCTGGATATGAGCAGGTCCTGGGGAAAATGCATGAAGGTGGTTTCTCAGCTGGTGAATGCTTAGATCAGAAAGCTGACCTGCCTGAAAAGTCAAGAACTCAAACAGCAAGACTTTAACCCACTGTTGGAAAAAGAATCTTTCCCTCCTACCCAATTAGGTTTCCCTGCAACCCTTCATAAAGCTCCTGGTGAGCCTGGAAAGTCCCTCACTGTGCCTCTGAAACGGCTATCATACCAGACATATTTATTTTCAGGGTCTAGGCCCGAAACGTCAGCCTCTCTGCTCCTATGATGCTGCTTGGCCTGCTGTGTTCATCCAGCCCTGCACCTTGTTGTCTCGGATTCTCCAGCATCTGCAGTTCCTACTATCTCTGATTCATATTTATTTTCATCTGCTTTCTCAATTCATCCATCTTGTTACAAGGGCTGGATTCATTTAGGTTAACAACCTATAATTTTGACTTTCTTTCCATTACTTTTCTCTGCTCTGGAATTAATTTACTGAAGTACACTTCCCATGCATCTGCCTCCTTTGACATTTCAGGTGGCAGAGATCATAGGTTAGGAAGGTAATGTTGGGAGGAGCCTTGGTGAGTTGCTGCTATGCATCTAGATGGCACACACTGCTGCCGCTGAGCATTTATGGTGGAGCGAGTGCACGTTGAACCTATTAGATGGAGTGCTAAATAAGTTTTGCCTTCATGTTGTTGAGCTGATTGAATGTTTATTGTGGCTCACTCCTTCAGGCAAGTGGAAGATATTCCATCGCACTACTGACTTTTGCATTGTAGATAGTGGGTATGCTCTGGAGAATCATGAAGTGAGTTACTCACTGCAGAATACCCAGCTTCTGACCTGCTCTCGTAGACTTTGTTGAATTCAATTTCTGAACAATGATAATCCCCAAGGGTGCTAATCCTAAGAAAGCTCTCGGCTGCACTTGTTTACAGAGTGTCTAGTGCAGTTTACTTCAGGATTCACTCCCTTTATATGTAGAGAATCATAACTCCCTCAATCTTACTGACCGACCAGCAAAAACAAAATTCTTGAAATAGGCCATTAGACTTTAAACCTAAATTGAAGCTGTTCCTCAGACTGACAATATTTTAATTGCTTCCTTAGGTCTACCTGTTCATGTGGGACATCCCTGTCATTGATACGGTTAAAGCAAAACAAGGGAATGCATTAGAGAGTTCACCCTGCCCAATCCATAGATTTTTAGGCCCTGAACAAAACGGTGCAGTGCATCTCTGCAGAAACATAAAAGTAATCCAGAGATTTACCTGTGTATGCACTGAGGAAACAGCTTGTATCTCCACACTGAACACACCTTTATGACCATCTACCCACTTGACCGGTGGATTCTGGTTTGGAATCTTCTGCTTTGAACAAATAAAATGATTATAAAATGGGAATGCATTTTTTTTTAAAATCTGGAAACTACTTACCTTGTTGGTTTCAAGATCTTTACTCTTTCTAGATTTCCTGCCATTAGTAGTGTCTGGCTGTTTACAGCTGGCATGTAGCCTAAAACAGCGCATTGTTCCCAATTTCTTTTCAGTATTTTCAATCCCGCATGTGTTTGCTGCCAGTGAAATGCATAGATGGAAGGAGCAACATCTGCGAATGCCCAATTGGTGGCCAGGAAAGTTTCCCATCTGTTCTGAATATAAATGTCCTTTGCCCTTGAGGGTGGTATAATGTTAATGTTTTCTGAATATTTATTTTTGTCATTTATGCTTTGGCTGAATTTAGTACCACCATGGCTTCATGTTAAAACCAATCCTTTGTTGTAATTTAATCAAGGGGCTATTGTAAGAAACAGGTGATGCCAAGGGGAGTTCAATTTTTGCATCTCATCACCTGGTCTGCTTCCTGTAAAAATTGAATCGAACATCACATAACAGATATTTCAACAGCTCCCAGACAAAACTCTGAAAAAACAGATACATTTCACAAACTATGGAATGGGCTTGATATTACCAATAAGCTGTCATATGGGTCGGCAGCTGCAAAAGGACTTAGCCCTCCTCCCCTCTCCCCTCCATAGTCTTTTGAGGTTTATCTGAAATGTTCAAACTCCCCCTTTCCCCACAGCTGGGTGAACAGGTGCCTCCAGTATTCATTGTCACTATAGCACAAGCGACTGGATAATGTAATTTGGCATACCACTAGACAATGGATCGGACTTTTGAATTGGCAAGACTCCTCCAATCTGACTGAGTAGCATAACTCTGGCCCAATATGTCCACCTGCTCATAGAAACATAGAAAATAGGTGCAGGTGTAGGCCATTCAGCCCTTCGAGCCTGCGCCACCATTCAATATGTTCATGGTTGACCATGCAATTTCAGTATCCCATTCCTGCTTTCTCTCCATATTCTGTCACTAGTGTGGGTGTACGCAGACACAGGAAGTGGTCCAAAATATTTCTATACCCAAGTGTGGGGCTGAGTTAGTGCAGGCTCAGCGAGGGGTGCAATATCATTTGAGCAAAACTCTAGACCAAATGGTCTAATGCTGCATAAAAAAATTCTGCTTTCTCTGCTAATACACTTGCAGTGCAATCTCACTGCTAACAAGACACCTCTGAACCATACATCTCACACACAGCCCATGCTGTGTCACTAACTTAGGCATCATTTATTGCCCTAGAGAAGGTGGCAGTTGTTACATTGCCCTTTATATAGCTGGGGATAGTACTGCTCCTTTCAATGCTGAGTTTACGCCTGTCTAATTATCAGTGATAGAGAATAGACCACCAAGAAGCATTAACATGAGAACCAACTTGTCTTTCCTGATTAGAAGCAGTTTATTGCATGATAGCAACTGGTACCATCACACTGGCTAGTTAGACAGAATTAGTTAAGAGTTTTGGAAATCAGAGATGGAACTCTTGATCCCATCAGGATCTTTTGCAAGACTGCCTGATTTTCCATCAAATATAAGGTTTACATAATAGTGCTCATTTTTAGGATGTCATGTTAGTTTGAAGTAACATTTTATGGCTTTGCCAAAGTTTACTTTTAAAACAATTTTGTTTTAAGTTCCACTATGAGGACAATTAACAGGACAGCTGCTTGCAAAACTTGGCTCAATGATCTAAAGGTGCAAGATCTTTTTAGCTAGCAAAACTCTAGACCAGGTGGTCTGAAGAAGGATCTGGGTTAAACTACTATGTATGTTAAAAAAAAAATTTAACTGACTTTGTCAATCAACTGTATCTATATCAATTAAGCATCAACATTTTTAAGAAGAACATCCTGATACTTTGCTATAAACATTTGTTCTTGGTTGTTTACACTACTCGGCATGTTAGGTGAATGGTTTTAGGTGGCATTATTGGCAAGAGGATACAACATTGTTTGTACAACTTCTCCGTATCCTAGAGAATGTGTCATTTCTTCACACAATGTAATGTTTGTTCCTGGGGCTGAAGAAACAGTGGTGAACATTTGATTTGCTCTCTGCGTCTCTCCGGTTACAAAGACCGGGTGATACCTGATGATCTTCATTTTAAAACAATGGAAAAAATTAATATGAACCATCCGAAGGAATGGACATCCCTTGGATTTAGGGATAAAAATTTGAAACTCAATATTTTGTAGCTGTGTCACCTTTACATTTGCTTCTATGGTATAATTCATCTCAGTCACAGTTCACTATAACATCAGGTCAGAGACAGGAGAAGAAAGGCATAATTTGTGCTGGCAGTCTTCAAGGGAGTTTAGACCATGAAGGATAAAAAACTTCCATGTTGTCTTCATTCATTGTTTGTTGGCTACTTATAAGGTTGTGTTTAATAAATTCTACTTGATTCATAAAAAAAAGTGGCTATTTGTATTTTGTCAGAGAAGGAAGGGTTTTTGGTCTTACGTTTTAATGTAAAAGGGTCTTATATCTCAAACTCCCTAAATTTACGAAAAAGCCATGTGGCATCATATTGGGTTGGGTTTAATGGAACTTCACATCAACTTTTTCACAACTGTTAGCATATACTTCTTCCCCAGACTATTTTTCCTGGTAATTAACAATTATATATCTGCATAGTAACTACGTTTTTACATCTCACAAATACAGGCAGTCTAGAGATTTGTCTTGAAGGATTGGGAGGTCTCTGGTTTGAGAATGGTTAACTTTAATTCTGATCTTCCATAAATCATTTCGCCATTGCAGAATCTTTATCTCTTGAATGCCCTTCACGGAAGTTGAAATTCCTGCTAAACCTGGTAGTTGGTCCATTACTTTAACCAGGCATGTTTCACTCCGCTGATTGATTTAACTTCCTAAGTTGGACAGCTATTGCAGATTGCATTAGGAAACTTTTTATTAAATCACTCAATATTTTGTTCATGCTTATTGGATTGAATTTTAAGATTTTTGACTTACAGCGCCACTTATTTGGTAGAATCTCTTTAAACGTATCTGTGTTTTCTTTGATAGTTTGGACATTTGTGTAATCTTCTATTCATACTAGTGTATTAATTTGTTCAGCTTCAGATTTAGCATTCAAATACGAAACAACACTGTATCTCAAGAAATGGCTTCTCCAAGATGTCCAATCCTATGTTCTGTTCTGCCCATCATTGACAGTGAATCTTTTTAGAAGTATTATTTCTCCTTCCACTTTTTATTGTGTTCATTTATTATCATTCCTTTCAAAGCGTGTTTAAGTCTACAGCATCTACTTGTAATCTGTCTTCAAGCTTGTGTTCTTGCATTGATCAATGTTTCTCAAGTGCTGTTGTTTAGTTGGCTTTAGATCTGAATACTTCTGTAATTGAACAATGTGTGGCTTTTTTTGCAAGCTTTTAAATTTTGTGTTAAGACAGTACTTTGTGAAATTCTTCTACAAATCCTTTAAATTCAGTTCACTTGCAAAAACATGTAGTGTTATTTCTTTAAACTTTGACTGTCGCTAAATAGCAGTAGTGTTAACTCTATGCTGTTCACGGGACGTTTCCCAATGTTTTAATAATTAAAATAGAGGTTTCCTGCCTTGTGGAGAGTTTCTTACCTTCTGCATTTTTATAGGCGAAATGTGTGCTTTCTTGCCTTTCACAGTGCAAACCACAATGCATATCTCTTTGTGTAACATTGTAAATAAACTTCTGTGGCTACAGAAGCTTCCCACTAAAATTGCTGTTTAAACTATCCATCCCAATCTCCTTAGAGTCTTAACATTCTTCCAACGTCTACTTTCTGTTAAATTCTACCTTCAAATCTTTCAAACGTGTGAGCATTTGTTACCTTAAATTGAGTGAAACATTTCGGATATTGTGGCCTTGCTCCGTTCACTGTAGCTATGCCTTGAGGAGCCTATTCCTTATGGCAGTGATGGTCGTACTGAAGGATAAGGACCATAGTTCACATTCACCTATTCATTATATTTGTACTCTGTGTGGACTTTGTTTCAAATATCCAGATGAACAGGAGGTTGATTGTGCAGTTAGACTCAATTTTATACCATCCAAATTGCATTATTGTTCACTACTACATCTGGGTGTGTCACAATAAAATCATGACAAGAATGTTGCACAAAAGAAAAACCTACCTCTGGAGAGTGCATGGAGTATTTGTTGGGAAGCCTTTCCAGGGCCATTGGCAGACAGTAATGGCCCGTCTGGAGACGCTCATTCATAAGAATTGGTAACCACTAGAAAATGAAGATGGCAAAAAATTCATCACTTTGTTGGACGTTGCTGGGCGTATTATTGTTACATTCACAATCTTGTGACTCAATATATCAATGAGTATAACCAATTTTGGTGTATCAGTCAAAATCTAACTTATCGATTATCACTCACACTGTGGCTCTACAAGCTGAATGTCAGAATTATAGGCGGCACCAAGGAAAAATGGCTGAAGATGGCTGAATTCCCCACTTTAGAGTCCCCTCAACTAACTACACTCTGATATTGCAAGAGACTAGTTTGGAGTGTTCTACTTCAAACAAAATCCTGTATAAATTACTGGGAAGGGCTGTTATCTAGTATATGAAGGTAGACAAACAAGAGGCTGGAAGAACACAGCAGGCCAGGCAGCATCTGGAGGAAAGAAGCAGTCAATATTGCAGATATTACCCTTCTTCAGGAGTTCTTTTGTCTCTCACCTAGTTTTAAAAAGCCTCCTGTTTGTTCTGAGGAAGGGTCACCGGACCCGAAACGATAACCCTGTTTTTTCCTTCACAGATTCTGCCAGGCCTGCTGAGCTTTTCCAGCAACTTCTGTTTTTGTTCCTGTTTGTCTATTTTGGGTTCTAGCAACTGCAGTTTTTTTTGTCTCTAATCTGGTATAAGAAGGTTCTTCTGCCTTAACTGGCAGCCTTCTATTATACTTATTGTCTTAATTTTCTTGTAAATATTACAGTTTTTATATATGCCCTTACTATGTCACAATCCTCATTGCCTTTGTGAGTGTATCAAAGAAAAGGTGACATCGATGTTGAAAAATATTTCAATGGATCAAATTCTTGTTTTCTTGCTGCCCTTTAATGCCTGTCCATTTTTCATTTGCAGGTTTTTAACCTGATGGCTGGTGATGTTTATCCTACCTGCTGATTGGTCATTTCTTGACCTATTCAATTGTGAGATTTACTGTTTGAAACTTGATCAGGTGTAAGTGTTGCATGCCAATAAGCACTTTTCTAAGCATGATTCTTAAAATATAACAAAGCAAAACAACAATAAACCAAATTGTTTTACAGTCAATTTTTTTTGGATTACTTTACTGCCTCCAGTCATTGTATGGGATCAGGGTCAAAATTCTGTGTTCCATTTATTATTTAATATTGATCCCACAGCCTAAACCTGATGTGTATTAAATGAATTGCCCAAAGGCAATAAAAAATTGGTTTCAAAAATAAGTAAGCACTGTTTAAATTATTTTTCTCCTCCCATTTTCTTTCTTTTGTCTTTTCTTGTGGAAGTGATAAATTACCCCGGGCAACCGTTCCTAAAATAGCAACAAATCACTGATGTCTTAATCTATTGGCCATTAATCATGTTGACAACCAGGAGGGCAAACACCAGATACCCTTTAACCCCAGGACAGTGTACCGCTGAGTTAGCTTCTAACTAATGCCCACAAATACAAACTGTTCAGCAAAGGTCAATCCTAGTAATTGGCAATCAAAGCTTTTGCTGATCTTCTGCTCCCAAACTTCTAGACCAGGGATATCGAGGTCAAATATTGGAACAAAAACAAAACCAAAAGAACAGTGGATGGTGGCAATCAGAAACAAAAGCAGAAATTAACGGAAAAATTCAGCAGGTCTGGCAGCATCTGTGGAGAGAAATCAGAGTTAACATTTCTGAAAAAGGGTCACTGGACCTGATATATAAACTCTGATTTCTCACCACCAATACTGCTAGAACTGCTAAGTTTTTTTCTAGCAATTTCTGTTTTTGTGTTTGAGGTCAAATACAGTCCCTCATTAGCCTAAGCCGATTGGTCAGTCATGCTACAGTCATGGCCCATTGAACTCGCTGTGAGATTCTGTGTTGATGACAATTGTACAACACCATTGGGATCTCGTAGCCATATTAATCCACTGTGTTAACAGAAAACACTCTGCGAAGTGACATAACTTACAGAGTAGCCAATCAGAGTCTCTGATGAGCCTCCTTGGTTTTGTTTCTGTTGGCAGCTGATGTGATAGAATGTAAACAGCAAATGGTGTTTTCCTGTAATCTTGGCTGGAAGTTTAAGTTTTACTTCCTCATAAAAATCAGGAGATCTGCAGTATAAGAAAATACCAATCAGTTACCCTTGTATGACGAACTTTAGATAGCATCCTGATAACACAATTTAATAGTTTCACAATACAAAGCCTTCAGTCCTACTTATTACAGCAATATTGACATGAATTGACTTCTATACCTTCTGTGTATCATAATTTTCAAACAGATATGAAACCTACCTGCTGCAGGCAGTGTGTGTCTATCATATAGTACGTGGCAAATTATATCCACATTCAAGGGTCCCCCAGTAAATTAGGGCAAATTATTTGCCCAGAGCTATGTCTGCTCTATAACTTTATTGCATATAGAGTCATAGAGCATTGAAACAGACCCTTCGATCCAACCAGTTCATGCTGATCATAATCCCAAACTAAACTAGCTCCACTTACTTGCTCCTGGCCCATATCCCTCCAAACCTTTTCTATTCATATACTTAGTGAACTGTCTTTTAAATGTTATAACTGTGCCAGCATCCAGCACTTCCTCAGACAGCTCATCCCACATGTGAACCACGCTCTGTTTAAAAAATTTGCCCCTTATGTCTTTTTAAAATCTCTCTCTTCTCACCTTAAAAATACGCTCTGCTGTCTTGAAATCCCTCATCCTAGGGAGAAGACATCTACCATTAACTCTACCTATACCACTCATGATTATATAAACTTCTATAAGGTCAACCTCCCGTGCTCCAGTGGAAAAGGTCCTAGCCTATTCAGACTTTCTTTATAACTTAAACCTTCTATACCAGGCAACATCCTGATAAATCTCATCTGAACTTGAATAAACAAGGATTTTGCTGTGAAGTTATGACAGTGATAATGGAAACAGCTCCAACGAACTTACCCAATCTCAAACAGCTTTGCTTAATTGCTGCTCTCAGATTCCTGATTCACCTGTTCCATGTTCTTCACCATGACGTTTTGGATACTAACTTATGTTGTCTTCACGATCGCCATAAAATTACCGTAACTCTGTATTCAAGCTCTCGCTGATGTTTCTTTATTTTTACTTTATTCTTTTATCAATGTTGGTTTGGGGCTGTGAACTGGGAACTGTGAGATAAAGATAACTTTTGGACTGTGGGTAACATCTTGTGTTAAAAGGAAAACAGACCAACAGGTTTTGGTTTATTCATGAGGCCAGGCCCTGGGTGTTAATTGCAGGTTTGTTCTCGATCAAAACTTTTTGCAGATTCTTCATCACCAGGAAAGAGAATTATGTTTAAACAGACTTCAGAAGTTGGCTATTAATGTGGTCAGTATCTGGGAATTGGTTCCAGCAAGTCTGGGAGTGACCTAGTCACTGGGTCTTGTAACTGGGTAACTGGGACTTTGTGGCCAGATGGTCAGTCTGTCAGGGAGTAGTTACAGTTTGAACTGGATTTTGGATTGAGATTTCTGTCAGAAGGAAGCTGGCTGTTGGTATCACAGCATGAGGATTTGAAAGTTCCCTTCCTAATCTTCCATGAGCAACTCATGGAAACTCAGGGAATAAAAAACTAAGTTACCAATATTACTGCCTTTATCTGAGTGAACTGCGAAGGTGGCCCTGATTAATACCTTCAGAAAAATCAACCAACAAACCATTATCTATGCCTGTGGGACAACACTACATGAAAACCTCACAGATAATCTGGCTACCTTTGATATTTCTTTTATTTATCCTTTAACTGTGTTTGTCTGTCTGTCTGTCCTTTGTGCGAATGGAGATGCAGACAAAGGTTTTTGTGTTTATATCACAGAAACATTTCTGAAGAAGGGTCAGGACCTGAAACGTCAGCTTTCCTGCTCCTCTGATGCTGCTTGGCCTGCTGTGTTCATCCAGCTCTACACCTTGTTATCCCAATTAGATTACTTTTGTTGTTTAATTTTGCTCTGTTAAAGTTACTGTATTGTTAATAAATTGCTCAGTCTTTTGCTTAAGATACAAGCTGGTATCAACCATTGATTATTTGCAGAATCTGGGATTGTTAGTCAAAAGTCTGGCTTGGAGCTATTGCGATCAATTTTGAGGGTCTTTGAAGGTTTGAATTTTACTGTGTTGTAAATACAGAAGTAGAAAGGCTAATGTGGTTTAGCTCTCAGTCTACTTTACCTAACACGTGTCAGGCTTTTCTTTACCCAGATGGTGAGAGCTCCTGGCTGAGGGAGTCCTTGATTTACTGGTTCCTGGTAATTCCTGATTTTAATTGCTCTACCATTCTTGGCCATGCTTTTAGCTTCACTGACTTTCAGCTCTGGAATTCCTTTACTAAATTTCACTGGCTCCTCAATTGTTCTTAAAATGCTCTCTAAAACCTATTTATTTGACCAACCTTTTGGCTATCTGTGCTAATATTGCCATATCTGTCTCAGTGTCTAATTTGTCTTTTAATATTCCTGGAAATTAGAAACAAAAGCAGAAATCGCTGGAGAAACTCAGCAAGTCTGGCAGATCAGTGGATAGAAAGCAGAGTTAACATCTTTTCAGGAAAACACAGATTTTTAATCTGTTCTCTTTTAGCCTACCCTGACTGTCACAAACCAATTACATACACATCCATTCAAGTTCATCATGTGTGATCAGCATATTTTATTACTTTGAAGAAGACTGAGCAGTTTAGGTCTCTACTGTCTGGAGCATACAGGAATGACAGGGGATCTAACTGAGGTAGATAAGAAACCAATGGAGGTTATCAAAATAGACATAGAGAGAATGTTTCTTGATGTTGCTCTACTTAGGATGAGAGCTTATTAGTTTTAGGATAAAGTTTAGCAGATTTAAAACAGAGAAGAGGGGAAATTACTTCTCTCAAAGGGTCATGAATCTGTGGGGTTCACTACCACAGAGTGTGGTGGATGTTGGGACATTGAGATTTTTTGGGACAGATTTTTAATTAGTAATGGGGTTCAAAGTGCTGGAGCAAATTATGGCATAAGTAGTGACCTGTAGTAATATATTGTATTGTATTAAATAAGTATAGCCACATGTCATATGTCAAAATGGAGTATTAAGTATACAGGCATGATGGGATTTCACTGCATTTTTGTGGATATTCAGTCGAAGGTGGCAAGAAGAGGCCATCTCCTTTCAGAAGGAGAATGCTGTATAACTGGTGCTCGGGAATGCTGTATAACTGGTGCTAAGTTTGGTATGAAGTTGAATTATGTAGGCCCAAGTATAACTGATAAAGCGGGAAGCATCTGGTAAACATGATGAGATCATGGGATGTGCTGATCACACATGATGAACTTGAATGGATGTGTATGTAATGGGTTTGTGACAGTCAGGGTAGGCTAAAAGAGAACAGATTAAAAATCTGTGTTTTCCTGAAAAGATGTTAACTCTGCTTTCTATCCACTGATCTGCCAGACTTGCTGAGTTTCTCCAGCGATTTCTGCTTTTGTTTCTAATTTCCAGGCATCTGCAGTTCTTTCTGTTTTTTTTTTTGGCTGTTTTCCTATGTTCAGTGGAGAAGTGTTTGGATTGACCAAGCTCTCTCACCCCACTGGTGTAAAACAGTGAACTCTTTCACAATGGCAACGGACATTGATAACAAGTGATTTATTTAGTCAATCTGCCTCTTCACATAAAAACATGTTTGATCAGAAACATAAGCAACGGTAAGTATTTCACAGAAAGAATATGATTTTGGGTGGCATTGGTACTTGAATGGCTAATTTCGCTTGAATCAGAAACCTTTGGCCATTAATTATATTTAACTATCATCATATCTTTGTATATAATGTTTATAATTTAATAAGATATGTAATTTTAACACATATATACACACCCAAACAACCATGAAAACATTGCTAAACTAGTATCTAATCTTTCCACTAAAAACAATGTTAACACTGCACTTTGTAACAGCCAATTACACAAATATCATTAGAAATGTAAACACTACAAGTCATAATGAATTCCTGTTTTAGTATGGGATAATGGCAATTCAATATGACTGAATTAGAGTTAATGCATAGAAGATTTCTATTCTCCAGAATGTCAAGTCTATTTAGGAAATGCAAAAGGTCACCTGTAAGATTAGAACTAAAGAAAAGCAGCTTCTGCTACTTGCCTACATCATTATCATCAATGACATGGCTTCAGATGGTTGACAAGGTTAAATTTAAATTTAACTGATGCAATGTACCCCTCCTGCATTTTTTGTCTTTCTAAACGTTAAATCTGCTTTGCTCACCAGATGCTGCCAAACCTGTTGATGTTACTGCAGCACTTAGTCTTCATTTCAAACCACCTGAATCTACAGTATTTTGCTTTTAATAGAGATTTTAATTCCCTTGAGTAAACTATTGCAGTTCACTGACCATTAAGGAAGTTTACTCGGGGCCAATCTCAGTGACATTGCTGTCACCTGATTTGTCTGTGTTGGTGTGCTCATGGCCAGGGAGTAGTCACATTGAGCTGAATTTTACCGTTTTCTGATCAGCGCCAGTTTGGTTGAGTGATTCTTGCTCCAAGGCTGAGTGAGTTTTCTCACCTTCTCTTACCGAACTCACTGCATTAATACATGTCTCATCCCTGATTGCAAGTACCATGTCCGCTTTCCGCCCCTTCTTACCATGCACCATTCCCAGAACAGAGTGCTACCCTCTGGAGATCTGAGAACTTACCCACATCTCTGCAACAAGCACCATCTTTCATTGTTCACCCAGAAAATCCCCACCAGTCCTGAGCTGCCTTGTGCAGTTGCTGCAGACTGGGGGAGGTTTGACACCCGGCTTTACAGGGATGTTCCTGGAGCTCCCGCTGGACATGATAGTGCTGGTGTGGAACTTCCTTCATCCCCCAGGACTAGCAGTTGAGGCTTCACCACTAGAACATGCCCAGTCTGGTCTGAGGTTGTTACCCTGGTCAGTGCAGTCTCAGCTGTCTGGAGCAATGCCAAACACTTTAGAATGTCAATGTCCTTCTCCACTCTGTTAATCTACGTGATTAAATCACCCTATTTTTGCTACCGTACCAATCTCCCACCAAGTCTCATTCTCTGCCACTCTCACTATTGCCTGTAATATCTTCCCTCACTTACCCTCACCCACCCCAATCTGTGACATAACTAACCCTGTTATCGTCTCTACATGGCTACTCACCCGCCTCAGGAAACCTCTTAACTAGTACCAACTGTAATAGCTGTGCCATTCTGAACTCTCATAATCCCTGCCTTTTGCTCATTCCAGGAGCAAACAGCCAACAATGTGTCAGAAAGATTCAAAGTGGTTGGTGGGCTGCCCAAAATTCTACTCCTCACCCTGTATCAGAAGAGGATCGGACTCTGACCAGCCTGAGCAGGGTCTTGTCTTCTAGAGGAGGCTGCCCTTGACTTATTGTTCTGCGATCCCCTGAGTGATGGTCATCCCCGTTGATGAAGTCTTGTGAACCCCCACGGCAAGCTTGCTGGCTTTGTGTCTCTGCTAAATAGCACAGCAAGAGAGGGGTAATACGAATCTGATATCACCAGCTGGGCAGGCGGACAATGGACGTAGGGACTATCTCCTTGGTCTATAAGAAAATTCAGCCCATAGTACCTGCCAGTACGAGGTATTTTTTTTAAAATTTCTAAATGTTTCAGTTTAGCTACTTCTTAAAAAGCAAACTGTTGTTATTTTCCTACCTGCCAGGTTTTCTTCTATACACTACTTCCCATTTGAAAGATTAGCAAGGACAGATGAGCCACAGTAGGTTTTATTATACTGTAGCTGGATTGAATGGAGTATTAAATTTGGAAAAGATCACATTACCTTTATTTGCCCAATGATAGGAAAATGCACAGGGCGACATTAAGCAGAGGACACATACAAGGTTTGCTTTAATTATTTGTATTTACTACTTGCAAATACACTGTAGAATTCATTGATTATAAAACAAAAAAACTGCAGTGTTGGAAATCAAAACTAGAAATTGCTGGAGAAACTCAGCAGGTCTGGCAGCATCTGGAGAGAGAAAGCAGACTTAACGTTTTGAGTCCAGTGGCCCTTCTTCAGATCTGTCATTAATTGATGGCCCCAGTTACACAAAATACTTACTTGTTATGGTAAGTAACTGAAGTGTACATTTCTGAAACAAACTCTGCACTGCTCGACTTTCCAAAGATAACCTGAAATTTAAAAAAAAACTATGTAAAATCAGAACAATTGATGAATGACAGTGTCAAAATGAATGTCCAGGATGACCAATCTGTTCATTTCCACAGATTACTAGTTTCTTTTACTAGTCTCATTCCATGAAAAATTGAAGATTTGCCATTGTTTACTTTATTAGCAATAATGAAAACACGAGAATCCAAATCAATTAATCTTATTTCACTATTTACAGTTTCTGGTTAAAGATCATCTTATTAAATCCTTTATGCTCTTTCCCTCTATCAATTATTCCCTATTATTCCATTTGTGCTACAATTTTGGTCATTGTTAACATCTTAAGATGAGAAATTTGTAAAAGTGATGAAATCTATCTTATGCCTGTACATAGAATCCTAGAATCCCTACAGAGTGGAAGCTGGCCATTCGACCCATTGAGTCCACACTACCCTCTGAAGAGTATCCCACTTCTCACCCTAAATCTGTATTTCACATGTCTAACCAACCTGCACATCCCTGGACCTTATGCCACAATCTAGCATGGCCAATTCGACTAACCTGCACATCTTTAGACTGTGGAAAGAAACCAGGATGCCTGGAGGAAACCCACACAGACACGGGGAGAATGTGCAAACTCCACACAGTCACACGAGGGTGGAATTGAGGCTGAAATACATGTTAAGTGCTTCAAGCATCTGAACTACACAGAATCCCTGACATGAGAACTGACTGCTTTGTTTAATTTACATGTTAGACATTGCAGTTTTGGGCTCATTACAAGAGTCGCATTCCCAAGCTCCTTCTGCCCAAATGCTAGACAAACGATTATGTCAATTCTCAAACATCTTCATTCTTGGTGACAGACAAAACCAGCACATCAGTGGAAGAGACAAGCCTGGAGCATTTGCAACCACTGGGTTCGATAGCTTTAGGGTCTGAGCTCCGTCTCCCATACCCCCACATCCACACACCAGGTTTTGTTATCACATGGGCTGCCACCTCACACAACCCATTGTCAGCTACTAATAGTCCCAATTAGCACCTATTCATTCTCTCCAGCTGGCTTTTAACCATTCCTTTGTCTGCCCAAGTGATTTTTCTCTCTCAAAAACAGAAATTGCTGGAAAAGCTCAGCAGGTCTGGCAGCATCTGTGGACAGAAATCAAAGTTAACGTTTTGGGTCCAGAGACCCTTTCTTAGAAACGTTAACTCTGATTTCTCTCCACAGATGCTGCCAGACTTGCAGTGAGTGTAGCTCACCCGAAACATTAAGTCTGCATTTCTTCCCACAGATGCTGTCTGACCAGCTGAGTTTTTCCAGCAATTTCTATTTTTGCAACCACCTTTGGCCACAATTGCTGAGTAGACAATCCATCTTGGACTCCTCCTGAGGTCCACAGTAACAACTCCAACAACCCCTGACAACATTCTGCTGATAGTACTGAAGACTTGTGCTCCACAACTAACTGTGCCTGGACCAGCTTGTTCCACTATAAGAACATAAGAATTAGGAGCAGGAGTAGGGCATCTGGCCCCTCGAGCCTGCCCTGCCATTTAATAAAATCATGGCTGATCTTTGAGACTCAGCTCCACTTACCCGCCCACTCACCATAACCCTTAATTCCCTTACTGTTCAAAAATTTATCCAGCCTTGCCTTAAAAACATTCAGCGAGGCAGCTTCAACCGCTTCACTGGGTAGGGAATTCCACAGATTCACAATCCTTTGGGTGAAGAAGTTCCTCCTGACCTCAGTCCTACATCTGCTTCCCTTTATTTTGAGGCTATGCCCTCTAGTCCTAGTTTCACCTGCTAGCGGAAACAACCTCCCTGCCTCCACTTTATCTATTCCCTTCATAATCTTATATGTTTCTATAAGATCTCCCCTCATTCTTCTGAATTCCAATGAGTATAATCCCAGTCTACTCAGTCTCTCCTCACAATCCAACCCTCTCAACTCTGGAATCAACCGAGTGAATCTCCTCTGCACCCCCTCCAGTGCTAGTATATCTCTTCTCAAGTAAGGAGACCAAAACTGCACACAGTACTCCAGGTGTGGCCTCACCAGGACTCTATACAGCTGCAGCATAGCCTCCCTGTTTTTAAACTCCATCCCTCGAGCAATGACAGACAAAATTCCATTTGCCTTTTTAATTACCTGCTGCACCTGCAATCCTACTTTTAGCGATTCATGCACAAGGATACCCAAGTCCCACTGCACAGCAGTGTGCTGCAATTTTTTACCATTTAAAACATAGTCCATTTTGCTGTTATTCCTACCAAAATGGATGACCTCACACTTATCTGCCAGACCTTTGCCCACTCACTAAGACTATCTATATCCCTCTGCAGACTTTCAGTTTCTTCTGCACACTTTGCTCTACCACTCACCTTAGTGTCATCTGCAAATTTTGACACACCACACTTAGTCCCCAACTCCAAATCATCGATGTAAATCGTAAACAATTGCGGTCCCAACACTGATCCCTGAGGCACACCACTAGCCACTGACCGCCAACCAGAAAAACACCCATTTACCCCTACTCTTTGCTTTCTACTGGTCAACCAATCCTCTATCCATGCCAATACGTTACCTATAATACCGTGCAACTTTATCTTATGTAGCAGCCTTTGGTGTGGCACCTTGTCAAATGCCTTCTGGAAATCCAGGTACACCACATCCACAGGTTCCCCATTGTCCACCACGCAAGTAATGTCCTCAAAGAATTCCACCAAATTAGTTAAACATGACCTACCCTTCATGAACCCATGCTGGGTGTTCCCAATGGGACAATTTATATCCAGATGTCTTGCTATTTCTTCCTTAATGATAGATTCAAGCATTTTCCCCACTACCGAAGTTAAGCTAACTGGCCTACAGTTACCTGCTTTTTGTCTACTTCCTTTTTTAAACAGTGGTGTCACATTGGCGCAACAACACTGGAATTTATGTGGCAATATGGAAGATTGTTTAGTTATGTCCTGTGCAGAAAAAGGAAGACAAATCCAACCCAGCCAATGGCTGCTCTAAAAGTCTACACTTGATCATCAGCCAAGGGAATGGAGTGGTTGCTGGCAGCACTATCAAGTGACAACTGCTCAGCAATAAACCACTCACGGACTGCATCAGGGCCACTCAGCTTCTGCTTTAAATTTAGGCTTTATCCAAAGATGTCCAAAAAAGCTAAATTCCAGAGGTAAGGAGACAGTGACTGCCCTTGACATCAAGGCTGCATTTGATCAACAGTGACATCAGGAACCCCAATAAACTGAAGTCAGGGAAACACTCTTCACTCATACATAGCACAAAGGAACACGGTTATATACTGGAGGCCAATGATCTCAATCCTGATACACCATAGCAGGAGGCTAATGTCCTAGGCCCAACCATCTTCAGCTGCTTCATCACTAACCTTCCCTCTACCATAAAGTCAGAAGTGGGAATGTTTGCTGATGATTGCACAATGTTCAGCACCATTCACGACTCCTGAGATACTGTAGCAGTTTGCGTCTATGATCTGGACAACATTTGGGCTTCATTTGATAAGTAATAAGTAACATTCATGCTGTTTTACTGCCAGGCAATGACCACGTCTGACAACAGAGCTTCTAACCCCTGACATGCAAAGTATTTCCACCACTAAATCCCCCACTATCCTAAAGGGTTATCATTGAACAGAAACTGAATTTGACCTATCACATGAATACTGTGCCGACAGAAGCAAATCAGAGCCTAGGGATTGTATGGTAAGTAACTCAGTGCGTCACTCCCAAAAGCCAGTCCATCAGTTACAAGGCACAAGTCAGGAATGTGATCGAATACTCCCTACTTGCTTGGATGAGTACAGTTTCAACACAAGAAACTTGACACCATCTAGGACTAAGCTGCCTGCTTGATTCCTTCACTACTGTGGTATCAAACTCCTGGAACTCCCTTTTTAACAGAACTGTGAGTGTAGCTACACCACATGGACACTGCTGGTTCAAGAAGTCGCTTACACATTCTTATAATTACTTGCCTAACATGACAACAACACTCCGTTAACAAATTAATAAAAAAAATAAATGGGCTGTGTTATTTGAGTGGGCTGGTCAGATCCTTTGCTCATGCCAACTGCATAACCATTTGACATGCTGAACACTCCAGAGAAGAAGAAAGGGAATGTACCTGAAGTGTTTACCCTCTTCAAATATCCAATTAGCGACTTTTAAAGAAAAACTCAAAATAATGGCACCTTGTTCTCCTGTAGCTATATAAACCAGTTCTCCGATGTGTTTTCCTGCAAATCAGGCTTTATGCCAGGACCACCCATTGGTAAAGCTTAAAATTAACCACAAAGAGGAGCAGCTACTCTAGACACTGATTCTACATAAAATATGCTACTTAGGTGAGAATATTCTAATAACTTGCCCATTTTAATTTGGTTTGTACTAACTTAGACTTAATACTATAAAAACACTGGAGGATGAGGAGAATTTCCTCTTTTTGCCATTTGTAGGAAAATCAAAGATACACATAAAGCTGCTTTAATAGCACAGATACTGGACTTGTGAGCATTACATAGTCAGAAGATTTGAATTACAATAATGTTGCCTTGCATCCATGGCCCCTTGTCTTGGACATACCCACATCACAGAATCACAACAATGTGGAAGCAGGCCATTTGGCCCATTGAGGCCACAGCGACCCTCTGAAGAGCATCCCACCCAGACCCTGTAACCCTGGCTAACCCAGCTAGCCTGCACATCCCTGTACACTATGGAATTTAGCATAGCCAATCCATCTAACCTGAACATCTTTGAACTGTGGGAAAAACCAGAGCATCTGGAAGAAACCCACGCAGATGCAGGGAGAATGTGCAAACTCCACACAGACAGTGGCCCGAGGCTGGAATCTAACCTGGGTCCCTGCTGCTGTGAGACAGCAGTGCTAACCACTGAGCCATCATGCTACTCATGTGGAATCAATTTCTCCACATACACCATATTGACCCCATTCATAATTTTAGAAACCCTTTTTCAGGTCTCCCATTAGTCTTTCCTTTATCAGAGAAAACCTATTCAATCTTTTCAGATAATTAGATCTTGATGTAAATCACACTGCTAGAAATATACAGAAATCACACTCTGGAAACAGGCGATTCAGTGAACTGTCACTTCTGTTCTACATGAGCCTCTTCTAACTCTAAGTGCCCCTACCTCTGCGTCACTATGTTCTTCTAATGTATGCATCAGGTGTGGTTGGTTAGCTTGTATGGTTGCCTACGGCTGGTTTGTGATACAGGGTGATGCCAACAGCATGGAATTAATTCCTGCACCAGCTGAGGTTACTTTGAAGGTATTACCTTCTCAACTTCTCCCCTCACTTGAGGTATGGTGACCTTTAGGTTAAACCACCACCAGTTATCTCTCGCTAATGAGAGACCAGTCTGGTAAGGCTATGGTGACTTTATCTTTACATAGGGTCTCAACTTTAGCACAGAGTCCAAATCTGCTCAATCTTTCCAGATAATTATACCCATTCAATTCTAGTAACACACTTGTAAAACTCTGCTGCACTTTTTCCAGTGTTGCTTTATTGTTCGTGCATATTCTGGTTGGCTAACTGTTGTTAAATCAGAGCCAATAACAATATCTACTCTCCCCTACAGCTAGAACAATACAATTAAAACTATTTAAAAGTAGGCTACTAGGGACCTTGGTAAATATAATTTCAAATTGTAAAGGAGCTATGTAAAGACTCAGATGGTTTAAGACTGTAAGAGAAGTTTATACACCTCCTAGTTACTGTGCTCAACTGGTGAACCTAACCTCCAAGACCAACAAAACAAAAAAATGATTATCTTCATTATATTACCTGCATAGGATTATTCAGATCCTCATCTGCCAAGAACTGGATTTTGACTGTGATATTTCTAGCAGAGGCTAACCGGTTGCCAAAATTAAGCCTCTGTGGATAGACATAAAGTAGATTCCTGAAATAAATGGGGAAAAAAAAGCAAAACAGTTACCAGCAAAGCAAGGTCAACAAAACTAAGTAAGGAGCCAAAGGTTACCTTAGAGAAAGAGACTTCTTACTATATTGTATGAAAACATTGATTCCAGCTATTGTTGATGGAAACTTAATTTCAAGACATGTTGATTTTCTAATTGTTGGAATAGTGTAAAATTCGTTTGGGTTTGATACTTTGCTGTAAAAGCTGCAATACTGGATAAAAAAAAGGAAGAAAAATCTAAACCTGAATCAAAAATAGCAAAAGGTGTAGAAGCTCAGCAGGTCTGGCAGCATCTGTACAGAGAGAAAAAGAGTTATGTTTCGAGTCCAGTGACTCTTTTTCAGAACTGTCACTGGATTCAGGATGTTTTCTCTCATCAGACGCTGCCAAACCTGCTGCGTTTCTGCAGAAATTTCTGTTTTAGTTTCAGATTTCTAGCATTCACAGTTTTTTGTTTTATTCAAAAAATGGAATGCTTTGTATTGAGGAATAAATGAACAGACAATTCAAAACATGAATTGTCTGATGAAAAAAAAATGCTGAAATCCATGACAATATGGGCTTATTTTCCCAAAGAATCCTCTGCTCCTATGATGCTGCTTGGCCTGCTGTGTTCATCCAGCCCTGCACCTTGTTGTCTCGGATTCTCCAGCATCTGCAGTTCCTACTATCTCTGATTCGATTTTAACCCCACTGCGAAGCCTCTTCTAAGGATGCCTAACCTGAAGAAGTTACCCTCCTCCCTCCGGACAAACCTCAAGGGATCTCTCTCCCACTGCAACTCTCTCGTAATCTCTTCGGCCCTGAAACTGCTCGACCACGTCCTGAAGCAAACCAGGTACTCACCTTTGTCCCCCTCCACCCACAGATCAACGAATACCGCTCACGCTTGGACATAGAGCAGTTTTTCCGCCGCCTCCGCCTCCACGCTTCTTCGACCTGTTTGTTTCCTCTCCACCTATCCTCTCCTCTATCCGCCTCCCACTCTCTCCCTATTTATTTCAAAACCCCCTTCCCCTGCCCCTTTTCTGATGAAGGGTCTAGGCCCGAAACGTCAGCCTCTCTGCTCCTATGATGCTGCTTCGCCTGCTGTGTTCATCCAGCCCTGCACCTTGTTGTCTCACTTTCAGTTGTTGTCTCCCTACAGCAAATTAACAGCAACCTGTCTGTTTTGGATGCTTTCTTATCAATGGAATCTATATTCAGTTTGTCCCACAGATATCCCAATGTTTAGACTATTCTGCACTTTCAGTAACTGATATGTTGGGAAGTTTTATTCTTGCCAAGGAGGAGAAAGCTCAAGGGTGGGGACGGTGAGAATTGGTTCCATAATTCTGAACACCCTGAGCATTGTGGTATTGTGGTTTTTGTCTTCATTTTCAAATGCACAATGCTTGCTTTCAGCATGTGTTAGCTTATCAAAACATGCTGTAAAATAGTTTTTAAAAGAAACATTAGCATTATTTGTTACAGAGATAGTAGGAACTGCCGATGCTGGAGAATCTGAGAATAACAAGGTGTAGAGCTGGATGAACACAGCAGGCCAAGCAGCATCAGAGGAGCAGGAAAGCTGACGTTTCGGGTCGAGACCCTTCTTCAGAAAATTTTCTGAATTCTAATATTAGCATTATTTCCCTCGTTTACATTTCACATGAGACATTTTTCTTTAGAATCAATAGAATTCCTACAGTGTGGAAGCAGGCCATTCGGTCCATCGATTCTACCCGAACTCTTCCCAGAACATCCAACCTACACCGACTCTATCCCTGTAACCCTGCATTTCCCATGGCTAACCCACCTAGCCTGCACATCCCTGGACACTGTGGGCAATTTAGCATGGCCAATCCACCTAACCTGCACATCTTTGGACTGTGAGAGGAAACCGGAGCACATGGAGGAAATCCATGTAAACATGTGGAGAATGTACAAACTCCACACAGACAGTCGCGTAAGGTTATTATTGAACCCGGGTCCCTGGTGCTGTGAGGCAGTAATGCTAACGCACTAAGTCACTGTGTCACCCCTACTTTGTTTTCTTGTCATCCAAGAAAAAGTTTCAATACCATATAGCAGCATGGAATGCACAGAATGCAAGTTACATCAATGAGTACAAGGTTAATTATTTATCCGTACTTCACACACCTTGGAGCTTTCATGCCAATGAGAAATATCAGAAATTCTGACAAACATTTTCCTTCCCCAGTTTCCCATCCAACCATTCCAATTGTATTATAGAATACTGCATGTACCATGCACTCATGATAATCTGGTACAGATGAAATGGATTAAAAATAGTTAAAAGTTTTGATAGCAGTATCCACGATGATGGACTGGGTAAGATTACTACCAGGCGTAACCATGATCTATGTGGATAGGAAGATCAGGAAATTATTTCTTAATCTCAGCATGTTAGCTAATGTTAGCAGGGATGGGAGTTGAGTAAAGTCAACGCCTTTGTCCAGTGGGGAAATGTAGTCTGACAACATTCTGTAGGTAATTGAACGGTGAGCAGACTCAATGGGCCGAATAGCCTAATTCTGCTTCTACGTCTCATGGTTTATCTCATGGTAAATGATGTGTGGATTTTGGATGAGATGATAATCAGCAGTTACCGTTCTTTACTATGATTAAATAGATTTCTTGCATGTATAATCTGTGGAATGAGTTCTGCCTGCAGAATATTTTCATCCAGACTGAAGATTCCCAAACTATCTTCGCTCACTGGAAGTATTGGACATTGGCTAGGGAACACAGACCAGCTGTATTTCCTACTCAAAACTTGAAAACCTGGTCAGTTTAAATTGGTTGCAATCTGATGTTGAGATTCAAAATTCTAGATGTAGAATTCCTGCTTGGCTGAAGCCCATTTGTGTGCAGTTCCTCCATTTCCCTTTCAGTTCTATTACATGGTTAATAATTGTCGAGTGTGCTTCTCTTCTGTTGCTGCATAGTGTTGGTTGTATTTCAGACAAGCCCGTTTCAGAGGGCTCTTCACTGACTGGGAAATATTCACTGACTGGCATCTTTTTGCAGACTGGAGTTATTTTGTTGACTGGGAAGTTTTCACTGACTGTAAGGATTTACTGGTGTAAGAAAAAATAATGGTTTATTGATGGAAAACATTGCATGTGTTAACATTTAATAAAGAAAATGTATCAGTGTAATTGTTTAATGCGACTGGATTGTTGCCCCATAAGTTTCTCTTTTTTAAAAGTTTACCCAACATTTCCTAACATTGTCTGAGATTTTCAACTTTGAAGTTAAATTATAGCAGTGAGGCTCTTAGTGCCATATCCACCAATCCATTATCTATGCAAGCGAGGTATTGCAACAAACAGAAAACCACTGTCAAGATTCATCTGTGGATGGTGATCATCTGGTCCAGCAGTAACATGTATTCGTGAATAAAACTCTTCACCAGAAAATGGGACAGGGAAGAATTATTACTGGTCCTGTAGAGCAGGGCAAATGGACATTAAAACAAAGAACTGCACATGCTCGAAATCTGAAACAAAAGCAGAAATTGCTGGTGAAACTCAGCAGATCCGGCAGCATCTGTGGAGAGAGAAACAGTGTTAACGTTTTGGGTCCAGTAACCATTGTACAGCACATCAGGGTTCTGATGAAATGCCACAATGTTGACTCTGTTTTCTATCTACAGATGCTGCCAGACCTGATGAGTTTCTCCAGAAATTTCTGTCTTTATAAGGGATGTGAATGTTGTGTACCTGCCTTGATGTCAGCCAATTCACATGCGGCTGAGTGCAGGGAATGTGACGTTCATATTCCGAATGCTAGCCTTGCGTAGCATGGTGAATGACTTACAATGTTCTTCTATGGTTTAATAAAACTGACAGCTGTAAATCAATCTTCTATAACCGCACTGCTCACAGAAAACAAAGATTGGAGCTTTATGGAAAAGTTAAAACAGTTCTTGATATTTGTAGAAGTTGCCCTTTCGGTAGATCTTTAAGATTCTGTTTGCCAAGTTCCCTACAACACTATGATAGTTTATTTTTCTTCTTTCAAAATAAAATTGCAGCAACTATTTTGAGACCAATAATTTTAATCATTACATGTACATGTTCCTGTCTGGAAGTCATACACCCACAGATTTCAAAGTTATAACGTGCTATGTGCTTAGTTGCAAAATACTTATAATTTTCTATGTGAAACAGCTTCGTGAATTCACAGTTTATAAAGTAAGCAAGCATTCAACAGAAATAAATAAACCATTTGTCATTTATCATCCAGGTCGGAATGCATGCCCAGTAATAGTAGAAATTAGCAAAGTGATCCAAGAACCCACTTCTATACGTGAATTAAAATGAAAATTACATCATTTTAAAGATATTTATGCTGGTGTGTTCACTGCCACCACTTTGTTTTAAAGGGAAAACAAGTGTAGGATAAAGTAACAATGGCTACAAATGCGTCACAAGACTCGTTATCCGGGTAGGGAGAGAAATAGGCTGAATGATGTACTCAACTTCACATCAATGACTTTCTCCTGAATTAGAAAGTGCAAGGAATGCTGTGTACACACCTCAAATGTATGATGAATGCAAGAAATGACTTATACACAGACTAAAGAGGGTGGGACAGTGGCTCAGTGGTTAGCACTGCTGCCTCGCAGCACCAGGGGCCTGGGTTTAATTCCAGCCTTGAGTGACTGTCTGTGTGGAATTTGCACGTTCTCCCCGTGTCTGCATGGGTTTCACCCAGGTGCTCCGGTTTCCTCCCACAGTCCAAAGATGTGCAGGCTAGGTGGATTGGTCATACTAAGTTGCCCATAGTGTTCAGGGATGGGTAGATTAGGTGGATGGGTCTGGGTGGGATGCTCTGAAGGTCAGTGTGGACTTATTGGACTGAAGGGCCTGTTTCCACACTGTAGGGATCCTATGATGATAAAGTTAGTGTTCTGTGATTTTATTTCAAAAACGGGAAAGAGTAATCTGACCAACTGCATCTTATTTCTTATAGTGATTTGTTG